GTGTTGGTTTTTTTTCTTAAGAATTTTTTTTTCTAAAACCTCCTACGTAGCATAGCAGGGAGGTATTTAAAAAAAAAGTTTTTGAAAAACTCCCTGCAATGTGAGGTGTTATTTTTTTTTAAAAAAAGAAAGTTTTTGAAAATCGCAGGGAAAAAGTAAAAAAATAAAAAATAAAAAATTTCTTTTGGCAACTGTTTAATAAGGATTAAAATTTTTTTGCAAAAATAGTAGGGAGAAATTTCTTACTCTTTGTCGATGGAAATAAGATGGATGAACGAAGGATGATAACCTCGATGATAATCTAGAGTTGCATAAAGAAGAGAAGAACGTGAATACTAGAAGTCAAGAATTTAACAAAGGGAATGAATTTTGAAGCCCGGACTTCTGCTGTGCTTCTATAAAAGAACTTGAAGGCTCAATTTATAGGCAAAAAGTTGAGGTTGAAACCAGAATAATATTCCAAATCTCAATTGAAATAGGATTCCTTTTTCAAATTATGGTTGGAAATTTGATTGGATTCTTAACTTAAATTTGACCATTGGATTCTTAACTTAGATTTGACCCAAATCAAATCCGAACTCAAATATCATTCTTTCTTCAAATTATGGTTGGAAATTTAATTGGATTCTTAATTTAAATTTGATCAAAATCAAATCTCGAACTCAAATATGATTCCTTTTTCAAATTATGGTTGGAAATTTATTTGGATTCTTAGGTTGATTCAAATCAAATCCCAACTCAGATAGGATTCCTATTCAAATTCGAAATTGAAATCTGGTGGGATAGCTCACAGGTAGGATTCTTCATTCTTCATTCAAATTCTAAATTTGATTGGATATCAAATTTAAATCCTTTTCAAATTCATCCAAAATTTGAATTATATTCCAACCTTTAAATTACGTTGGATAAATTTCACATTTTAAAATTTGATCCAAAATTCAAATTTGAACCATAAATCCAGCGTTTAATTTAAGTTGGATAAATTCAAAAATTTTGAATTCATCTCAAATTTGAAATCAAATTATATTCCGACTTTAAATTGGGTAGGATAAATTCCATATTTTCAAATTTGAACCATAATCCAGTGTTTAATTTAAAGTTGGACAAATTAAAAATTTTTGAATTCATCCCAAATTTGAATTCAAATTACATTCCGACTTTTAAGTTGGGTTGGATAAATTCCATATTTTCAAATTTGGTACAAAATTCAAATTTGAACCATAATCCAGCTTAATTTTCAGGAAAATTTAAAAAAAAAATCTCGAATTCATCCCAAATTTGAATTTGAATTATATTTCGATTTTGTTTGAATTAAGTTGAAAAAATTCCATGTTTTCGATTTTGAGCCAAAATTCAAAATTGAACTCAAATCCAACGTTCAATTTAAAGTTGAATAAAATTTAAATTTTCAAATTCATCCCAAATTTGAATTTGAATCATATTTTGACTTTTAAATTAAATTCAGAGTTAAAAAAAAACTTCTGAAGATAATTTAAATTTCAATGGATAAATTTCAGATGTCTCATTTTAAATTGTGGACCTACAACGATATCTTGGTCCACGATTAATATTTTTTTTTCAAAATTATGACTTAAATTCATTTTTTTCATTGCACAACATTTTCGAAATTCAACCACAATTATATTTGGCATAAATTTCGAAAAGAAGGCATTTGTAGAATCATAAATTTTGGGCCAATCATAAATGACCAGGTCATTATCTATTTTATTTAGGGATTAATTATATATTAATTCTAAATTAAAATTAAAGATAAATTGACAATTAAAATATATAATTGGGTCATATGAGTATTGAGCTTGGAATCAATTTCGTTCACAAATTTGGCCCAAAACCCAATTTACCATGAAATCATTTAAAGAATTGGGCTTGACCCAAAATTATTCAAGCCTAATGGCCTACCAAAGCCTATGGAAACCTCTCTAAATAGGGGGGACCCATTTATTTTTAGGGTTCATAATTTCAGAATTGAGAGAATTCACACTAAATTGAAGACCCTCTGAAGACTTGAAGATTCAAACACAAACTTGAAGACTTTCAAAACTTGAAGACTTGAAGACTTTTGAAGAACATATAACTTCGATATAAATTCAAGAACAAGCATCTCAATCTTTACATCAAGTTCGAGAGAAAGAATAAGATGATAAAGATTAGAGATTGAATCCAGTATAAAACACATACAAACAATATAAAAGTTCAATTCCACGAAGTATAATTTCTCCGTAAATCTCGTGTGAACAATTTTATTATATAATAATAGTAGTATTATATCATAGTAATTTTTATGATATTTATTTTTGGTATATTTTAAAATATATTAATGTTATAATAAATTGAGAAATAAGGGGAGAGATGACAGTTCATAATTTAAATTAAGTATGTAATTATTTGATTATTTGACAATTAATTGTAAGTATGATAAATAGAATAAATGGGTAAATTTTTTGGGATTTCAACAGCTTTAGATTGTATTATTAATTTGCCAAAAGCGAGCATGACTCAAATTGTATTATTAATTTGCCAAAACGAGCATAACTCAGCGGTAATTGACATATATTTCTAATCAAGTGGTTGTGAGTTCGATCTCCCACTCCCACATATTGTATTAAAAAAACTTGTCGCTCGGACTTGTGCATTCGTCGAAGGACAAATCCTAATACACTCTAACGAACTCGACGTTGGTGCGGCACTTCTTGGTGGGCAAGGTTGGGCGCCTCTAGCCGCGGTGGGTGGCGCCTCTCAGGTCGTTCATCCCATACAGCTCTGGTGGCGACACGCCCATACACATGCGCACTATACGTTTCTAACTATCTGTGATCCCATTCCGTGCTGTCATCCTTACGCTTGACACGTATCCTGTTCGGATTTCTCCTTCAACATTATTAATTAAAAATATAATGGCACAATAAATAAAAAATAAACAAAGAATGATGATTGTCAAAAATATTTTTTCCACGACTGTAGCTTTTTAATTTACCATTTTCATATTTCGTGCTTCACACATGGTTTATGAAATTGAAAACACAATTTGGTTATATAGAAGTGGAAATTTAACTTTCCTACGTATAAAAAGATTTAAGTAGTTCATCAAAGTTTGTCACTATTCCAAAATTTAGTAGTTCAAGTTTATAAGCTTCTCTTAATTTGGGATGTTTATATCAATATGAATCTAACTCAATTAATTAAGGCATATCTTCACCAAAAGGTGATGCGTTCGACCTCGGAATTCTCACTCCCACATATTGTTGTACTAAAAAATGACCGTGTTAATAATCATAATTTTTAAAAATATAAAAAAAATAAAATGCAAACAAAGTTTAATTAGGTACTGAAATTAGGAGTAATTATCTTAGAGCATTTAAAATATGTAATTGAACTAAAAAAAACTTCTGTAATTAATTAATTAATTTATTTTTTGAAATCACTCTGTAATTAAATTCGTTTATTATGGAGAGGGGCATTAAACTTTGTAGCAAAATTCAATTGATGGGAAAGGGAAAGATTAGTTCAACCAACACAAAATTGAATCCATTTGATAGGGAAGGAAAGATTGAATTTAAATAAAGGGTAATGTACTTTATTAATTGAGTTTTTATTATTTTCTTAAAGTTTTATTTGCTTGATTTTGTGGCGAGCTTCTTGAGATATTCCTTTAATGATTGAGTTTAAACTTTTAACATTATTTTGAAGCTTCATTTTGATTTTGTGTTGGTTAAATTTTATTGAGTGATTTATTGATTATTTATTGAGCAATTTAGTCACCAAACTGGTAAAATTTAGAATTTAATTTATTGTCCATTCGGATATTGTTATTGTTAAGGTGAATAAGACACCTATTACCATTTCTGTTTTACATATCTAAAGTTAACCGTTTCATGTTCCAAAACTTAAAACAAAATTTAATTTGTTACATTAAAAGTTTAAGCTTAACCACCGAAACCAAATAAAAAGATACAAATAATTTTTTTCTAAATTATATTATTATCACAGCACCTAGTGTATTAATTTACTTTTTAAATTACAAATTCAGTCCTTGATTTTTTTGGTTTTACCTATTTAATTTTTAAACTTTACTAAACGTTTTAATTACCTTCATTTAAACTTAATAATCTTCTACTTTTAACACTGTTATTTAAATGGTAATGTGGCAAGGACTAAAGAATAATGATTTTCCAAAAAGATATGCAATAAAACAAGGGTAGGCGGGGCGCAGTAGAATCAATTTTTATTGAAATTATTCTCACAGATTAATTTATAATGAGCACAAAACTGAATTAAAATTTGTTTAGTTTCAATAAGAGAGTTATGAAGGGATTATGTAAGCCAACTCTCTTCTATATATAGAGTTGAGTTTCAAAGTGGAAAAGGCAGCTTTGGGGTGAAATAATCAAACAAGTGGAAGTGACAATGGGTGAGATTTCAGAATTGCTTGAAGCTCAAGTCCACATTTGGAATCATGCTTTCAAATATATCAACTCCATGTCTCTAAAATGTGTTGTCGAATTGGGCATACCAGACATTCTCCATACCCATGGCCAGCCCATGAGCCTTTCCGATTTAGTGGAAGCGCTCCATATTCAACCCTCCAAAGCTCAATGCCTTGGCCGCCTCATGCGCCTCCTCGTTCATTCTGGCTTCTTTGCTCGAACACATAGCGAGAATGATGAGCAAGAAACGAAGTACGCTGTCACACCTTCCTCTCGACTTCTCCTTCGTCACAACGACACATTGGAAACCTTACCCTTCTTGTTTCTAATTCTTCATCATGCCATGATGGCTTCGTGGGAGACCATGAGTTGCTGGTTGTGTAGTGTAGATGAGAACTATTCCAGTGCTTTTGAAATGGCGAATGGTAAGTCAATATGGAATTATATTGCAGAGGAACCTGAATTTGGCAATCTATTTCATCGAACAATAGCATATGATTCTCAACTCATTGGGAGAATAGTAACAACGGAGTGTCGAGAGGTGTTTGAGGGGCTGAAGTCGATCGTTGATGTTGGTGGAGGCACAGGCATTATGGCCAAGGCCATCGTGGAAGCATTCCCACACATTACTTACATTGTGTTTGATCTCCCGCAAGTAGTTGCTAACCACCAACAAACCACAAAAAACTTGAGTTTCATTGGAGGAGACATGTTTGAGGCAAAAATTCCACCAACAAATGCAGTTTTACTCAAGGTATGTCTCTCCTCTCGATTTTGTACTATTTCCAAGATTAGTAACAAGTACTTATCCTTTTAAGTTTTAAAATTAGAGTACTTACTATGAGATTTTGATAATCAGTCAGTTTTGTACAACTGGAATGATGAAGAAAGCATTCAGATACTGAAGAATTGTAAAGATGCGATTTTAAGTAATGCTGAGGGTGGAAAAGTGATAATCATAGAGGTGGCGTTGGAATATCAAGTGGAAGACAAGGAGTCAATTGAAACTCAGCTTTGTGGCGATGTGTTGATGATGACTAATTTTGCCATTAGAAAGAGAAACGAGAGAGAATGGAAGAATCTCTTCTTAGCTGCTGGTTTTAGTGACTACAAGATAATTCCTATGCTAGGTTTAAGATCTCTCATCGAGGTGTATCCTTGATAATTTGGGCCCAGTCTCATCTTTTATAACATTCCAATAAATATTATTCCCTTATTTAGTTAATATGGTGGATAATGAGAATAAAAAAAATTCCATCAAAATGAAAAATTGTGAAATCAGAATAACATTTATAATATTATGATTACTCAGATTATTTGGAATCGAAATTGAAAAAACCATATATGTTTGATAAATATTTTTTTGTTATTTTTAAAAAACAGAAAACCAAATAGGTTCGACAACCATTTTAGGGTTTTTCGTTTTCAAAATGTTAGAAAGTTGAAGAGTTATATTAGAGAAAGAAAAATCTATGTAAAGTAGTGATGACAACAACGTGCATCATGAGTTTGTGGATGCCCTATTCTATCCTTATCGCAAAAATTTTTAATCTTATCTCCACCTCGTTCTCTAATTCTGAGAATCAAGGTTTAGGTTGAAAAGTCCTCATTTGGGGATAAAGATCTTCGTGGAAAATTATTGGTTTAGTGATCAATTTTAATTATTTATAAAAAAAAAAGTAATAAATATATATAATTTATATCTATTTCACTTAAATATTATTATGTACTCGAATAAATAATGTTTTAAAAAATAATTTAGTAAAACATTTAATAAAAATATTAATTATTTAAAAAACAGAACAAGGGGCAGGGGTCGGGACATGATTGAAAAAGCATTCCTCGTTCTTGAAGTGAGACTTGACCTTGCAACAATTTTTGTCACGGCTAATTTAGAGACATGAAAATAAAAGTAAAGAGATAAAAATTTTTAGAGAGATATCCTTCCAATTTTTTTAGATAGATAAAGGAAAAAATTCATAAAAAGAAAAAGTTAGAAAAAAGAAATTAGTGAGAGCAAATTTAAAAACAGAAATAGAAAATTTGAGAGAGAGGTTAACTTGAGAGCAAAAGATACAAAAATTTCACCCAATTGAGCACGTCTAGCATATTTTTTCACAGTAGCAGGATCACTATAACTGACTCCATTGAGTTCACCGCCATAGAACTCAACAGTTACACCGACCAGGTTAGAGAAAGAAAGAAAAATTAGAAAGAGAAAAAAAATTAGACAAAAAAAGTTTAAAACATATTTGTTACAGAAAATCATAAATAAAAAAGAAATAAAAGTCATAGTAAAATAAAATTGAACCAGAAAAAGATTTAGATAGAGAAAAGCTGGATATATATTTCTGTTATAAAATGTAAAATTTGAGAGAGAAAAATTTAGAAGAATATTAATTTTTTTTAGAGAGAAAAATGAAGGTGATATGTTAGAACAGGAGGAAAGGAATAAAAATATCCCATGAAAATTTTGTAGTGAGAGAGATAATAGTGAATATTTTAGAGGTGAACATTTTTTAGATAGAATGATAATTTTTTTAGTGTGTGAAATTTAGGCAAAAAAATTTTAGAGTGTGTTGATGCGTGGATTTCGGTCCTCCGGTTCACTTCCTCGTATCCACCAAACTTGTTGATCCGGGACTAGTACCTGCAAAACCAAATCGAGCTAAACTGGTGTGACTCTAGTCACACGGGCTCCGATGCTTAAGTTAACAAGAGAATAACGTAAATGTAGTCAACTTTTTTAGATCCCTTTACCTCTAAGGCTGGATCAATACTTATAGCGTGAAGTTGTTCCAGAACCTTCCGTAGCTAACCCTAATTTCACCGTTGCAGGGCCTGGGCGACATCGTCGATCGAAGATGGGGGATCACTGGCCGGACCATGGGCCGAGCACCGGGTCGGGACCGAGCCCTTCGTGGCTCAGTGGGCTTCCCTCCGGTCGCTTTCCTCGTTCTCTGCCCCGGCGTTAGGTCATTCTTTGGGCCGGCCCGTTATGTCACGGGCCGGTCTTCCCCAATCAGACTTCAACTCCTTGTCTCGTTTCGGGTCATTTTTGTTCTCCATAACAGAGTGAAAAAGAAATTTGTTAGGTAGAAATTTGTCAAAGAAAAAAAAAGTGTAGCATTAAAAGGAAAAAAAAGAAGAGATTTTGAAAATAGAAATTTGTTTTTATTTTTATTTTTGATTTTGAAGTTTACTTAAAATTTAAAAACGATTTAAGTTGGAGGCATTTAAAAATAAAATAAAAATAGTTTTTTTTTTACAAAAGATTTTTTTCTTAAAAATTATATGGGAGAAATAAATCATCGTTGATCGAACAAAGTATTGTGGGGTGCTAATATCTTTCTCATACACAAAAGCTCTTGAACCCAAATTTTATTTGTGTGCATGCCAAATTATCCACGCATTTAGATGACGAGTCACATTCTATAAATCAAGATTACGACGACGACTCAATTTTCTCCTACCGAAAAGAAATTTGGTCACTTTGCCTTACAAACCTATAGAGACACTGTACACATCATCCACTTGCCATTTTGTCTTTTTTTTATTAAGGTGACATTGGAGATCCACTCAGGGTAATCCACCTCTCATGACGTCAACCTTCCTTTAGTAGCTTCTCCACTCTAAGCAGCGATCGTGCTGCATGTTGAATCCATGACTCTCCTTTACTACCTTAACAACCTGAACCCTAGGTCGGCATTCAAGTAGTGTACAACTATGCTGGGGTTGATCCCCGACATGTCCTTGTGTGACAAAGAGAAGATTTCAACTCTTCTCCTAAGAAATTTCAGTAAGGCTTTCCCTCTGCTCGGGCCAAACATGCTAACGTGTTTATTATCATCCAGCACTGGAATGAGCTGTAGTTCTTCGGTAGGAGTGCCGCTCAGCTTGTTTTCCTAAGGGTTGGGAACAATCTTGGTACCTAGAACTACTTATCTATATAAAAAGTCATAACTTTTAGTATTTATTTTACAAGAACTTTTAGCATTCTGATGTGGCACGCAAACGATCAGGTGACAATCTCTCTCGCATACGGAATACCTACAAAATCGAACTCAATACCTGTGTGGCGCTCTGTCTAGTGCATTCCGAAACTTAAGTCAAATTCCATTTGGAAGAGCTAAGAGGAGAGCAAGAAGTTGGTTCAAGATATTATTGGAACGAACAATTTGTTCTGCAGGAATTTTGATTTCTAAACAATTTAACAATCTTGGATCGGCATTGAATTTATATTTTTTAAAAAATTAGGATTAGGATTAGGATTGGGAAATTACATTTGTAGAATCCTCAATTTAATGCTCCACAAGATCTTCTTTGCTATGACTCGAACAATGGACCAAGATTGGTGGGAACCTCAAGAAACGAAGTGGTTCTTTTTCCTCGGAGTTTTAGGAAAGATATAGAGAGAATTCTCCCAAAGAATGTGTGTTTTTGGCTTACCTGATATTCAACAATCCAAGTGTATGGACAAACGAGTCTTTATCCACTTGAATCCAATTTTATAAATAGTTCAACTCAAAATGGAAAAGTTAGATGAATTATCTTTGTAGTTAAATATACGATAGACAGATTACTTACTATAGTTGAGGTCGAAACACAGTATAAGTTTGGTAACCAAGCTTGAATGTTCTTCAATAATACATCCTAAATTTTAGGACATAAAAGGAATACACCAGGAGGTTGTACAAAGGAGAAGGTGAAGAGAAAACCTCTCAACTTCTCAATTATCTGGATAACTTCAATTGTGTAAGGCTACAAGGAGGGCTATTTATAGCCAAGGCCATCAACCAATTTTAGGAAAAATAAATGACAAAATAAAACCTAAAAACTAAAGAAATTAAAGTTTTTAGGTGGGTTCTTTGGTAGCAAATTTCTGGGTGGTTTCTTCAAGTTCCAAAATCTCTATTTAGCTCTACATACAGACTTGTGTTCCCTCTTTTTATTTCTCGAGAAATTGGAGTTTCTAACCCCATTCTATAATCCATTCCGATTTTTGACCCCTCCCTAACAAAACATACTTTGTGACACTTTTTCACTTTTTGTCTTCATAAAATTATCAAAATATCCCTATTTTTTTAAAAGTAAAATTCTCTCTACCAATTTCTCGTCTTAAACCTCACAAATTTTTTTAAGTTGAATCTAATATGAAAAAATTATCAACATTTTAATTTAAGAATCAAATTATCAATTGAGAATCCAAATCCACAAAAATCCTCCTACAAGTTAACATAATCTATGTAAATCCTCAAATAACTAAACTCTAGTGGATTATTAGCATTCGTACAAAAAATAATAATAAAAAGATTTGCATAATCTAAGAATAAATGTAATTTTGAACAATATGTAGTTGACATACAAGAGATCGTGTTCAAGTTATAACATAAAGAGTCTATAGTATATAGATAATGTTGGGTATCCTATCTTGGTAACACTATTGATACGACCCACTTTGTAAATATTATAAACGAATTGATCAAAATTGTTCATGTGGAGACATGTGAGTGGGGTATCATATACAATGAGTTTGTTCGAGACTGAACCGTGAAATATTTAATTTTTTTTTTGTAAATTTGTTAAAATAGGTAAAATACATTTTTGGTCCTTGAGGTTGGAGATATGTTTCACTTTGGTCCCTAAGTTTCAAAAAGTGACAGTTTGGTTCTCGACCTTTATAAAATAGTTCGAAAAGGTCTGACATTAATGGAATACTGACGTGGCACTGAGTTGGATATTATATTAATTTTATATTATTTTAAATTTAAATGACATTTTTTTTTTTCAATTTCCCTCTTCTCTTCCTCTCTCTTCCTCCGGCTGTGTGTAATCTCCCTCCATCTATCTTTTCTCTCCCCTCCATCTCTCTCCCTCCCTACAAAATCTATTTTACAAAACTTTAGATAGGTGTCCGTATCTGGTGAACTCCAGCTTCAGAAATTGGAGATTCTCGAGGGTTTTTCTTCAGTAGTAGTTAGTTCATGAGGATTTTGGTTGGAGTTCATGTTCCACAACAAGATGAAGCAGTACGAGAGTTTGACCAATGATTTGGCCATGGATTCCACTGTTTATGTACCGTTCTATGCCAGTCTCGATATCAGCCATTACATATGGAACCTAAGCATCGCAGTGAGGAATTCTTCCTCTAGGGATTTTCTGAGTTTGATTTTTGGGAAAT